GGCCGGGCGCGCCGCGGCCCCCACGGCGCCCCGTGTCCCGGCAACCCGAACCCCCTTCCCGGGATCCCGTTTCCCTACGGGCTCGTGTGGCACTGGAAGTGCCCGTGAACGTCTGCCCCCCACTGCCACCGGGGACATCCAGCCTGGGCTGCTGCCATCCACTGCATCCATGGTTACATCATCCCTTCCCACAGCATCCAGGGCCATGGCATCTCTCCCCATGGCATCCATGGCCACGACATCCCTGCCCATGGCACGCATGGCCATGGCCTCCATGGCCGGTGCATGTGAGTGTGAGATCACTCTCTGCCCTGGCCTCCGTACGTGAGGTACTGGGGCCTCCCATGGGAATGCAGGGCTGTGCGCACGCGGGTGATGGAGACTCCTGGCAGGATGGACACCAGCCTTGCAGGACTAAAGATGTAGGACAACAGATCTCAAGTGTCCCTGGCAGCTTCCACGATTGAAATGATCTCCAGGAGGATGTCATCCAAAGGGCGGGTGCAAAATTAAATGTCTTTGATGCTGAGGAGACAGAGGAGCTCCGTCTTCCCCAGAAACGGCTGTTTGGGCAAATCTGTAGCAGGTAGCATGAGAAGAGAGTTAAAAAGTGTCAGACCCCGCGATTTAGAAACACTGATTTCCGCAAGGGAAGTAGCAAGGAGAACTCAAAAATGCTGCTACGACTTTTCAGCAATTTGCACGAAAGTGGTTTCACATAACCAGAGGCCAGAGAAGGAGGATCACTGGATTGCTCACAAAAAGGAAATGAAATTAGTGCAACTTCGAGCCCACAGCACTGAGAGCAAGAAGAGGAACTGCCATGCACGTAACCAGCGGAAAGAGCTCTTTCCTTCGCCTGCCCTACATAATGCCGGAGAACAGCGACCAGGCAACTGGCATCCGCAAGTTCTTGTGCTGAGCCCTCGGCTTCTTCCTGCTGGGTCACAACGGCAGCCAAGCAGGGATTGCATCTTCCAGCAGTGCCACTTCATCTTCATTCTGAAATCTTCCAGCGATGCAGAGAAATCCTTGGGGAGGAAAAGCTGAATCTTGCAAAATGACCTCGGCTCAGCAACAGCCAGCAGCTCCATTCGGAGCAGGCACCACCGGCAGTAACGACATCTGGAGCACGGTGTCATGCTTGCCTTGGCCAACCTGAGGAGCCTGCCTGGCCGGGGACGCCCAGCCTTGAAGTGCCCTTTGTAGCATCAAGAGGGTTGCGCGAGGGGCGGACAGGGACAAAGAACATCTTGTCACTAACTGTCCCTGTCCTAGGTGGGACATGGGGATGTGGGGAGCGTTTGGAGGCAGGGGCTGAGCTGCATTCAGGGTGCCCCAACTCCGCTTGTTCCCACTCCCTCCTGGCAAGGCTGGCACTGCTGGCATCCACAGCACAACCCCCTGCTGCAGCCCGGGACCGCTGTGCTGACCTGGGAGCCCTTTGCCACAGGGAAGTGGAGCAGAAGCAACTTGGGGCGGTTGCTTCTGCAGGCTTGGGAGGCTCCACATGCTCAGGAAGTTCCTCAACGGGAGCTGCCAGGCGCCTGCCAGCCCCGGCACGTGAATAAAGACAGGCAGTGCAGCAGGACGGTGCGGGGGGGTCACTAAACGCAAGCAGGACGGTGGGAAGGAAGCGGCAACGGGAGGGCTGGCTCTGGAGAGCAGAGCGCTCCTGGAGCCGCTGGCACCTGCTCTGAGGTGCTGGCAGCGGCAGGAGGAAGTAGCCGCCGTGCGAGAACCGCTCCAGAGAGCCACCTGGCTGGTGAGTCCCTGCAAAGCCAGCCTGGCTCCGCGCTGCTTCCTTGGCACGGGGAGGCTTCGTGCAAGGGCTGCTCAGCACCGGGACGGTAGGATTCTCCCTTGGAGGGTGGTGCAGCCCCGTGATGGACCATGATGAGGGAGGTGGGGAAATCACCGTCCGCGGAGGTTTTGGAGGCTCAGCCACACAACACCCTGGGGGCCACCCTGGGCTGGTGCCAGCCGCAGACCTGCTCCAAGCTGGAGGCCTGCGCTGGACCAAAGATCCTTCCCCTCTCCCAGGGCTCCTCTGTGGGCTGGGGCAGCTCAGCCTTAGGAATTTTCATCTTTGACTGTGGCTTTTTCTTAAGCTGTTACTAAGACTCTCCTTTCTGCTGGGCAGAGACGCGATATGCATTGGACAGGGCTGTTAGGGAGCCTTGGAAAGAATTTCCAACTGTCCCCGGGGCAGCTGCCTATGAATCAAATTCCTGCTTGAGACGGAAAAAGAAAAATGGAAAATATGAAGCACTCTTCTGCAATTTCCTGTCCCGGACGGCACCAGGCCGGGCAGGAGCTCAGAGCTGTGGCTCTCCTGCCTCTTGCGCTGACAGCTCTGGCTTCGCTCCACCTTGCTGGGCCGTTTGAGTTTTTCCCGATCTGCAAGCTTTGCCGGGTGCTTAGTAACAGGGAGGGTGGCTCAGGCACGAAGTTGGTGTCTCAGTGCCATTTTGGAGGATCTGGGGGATTGGGCCAGGGGAGGGCCCTTGAGGAGCCCTCGCGTAGCTCTCAGGTGCTACAGACCTGGATCCCACAGCTGGGGAGCCTCTGGGGAGGCCCTGGGTGCCGGCGGAGGATGCTGGGCCCAGGTTCTGCCAGGCTGAGCTATAGCCCTTCGGCAGCCACTGCAACAGCCCTTCCCCATTGCTCTCCTCCCTCCTAGGCCGCTCACCATGACTGGGGCCGTCCTCCTCCTGCTGGCGCTGGGCCTGGTCGAAGGGGGAGGCCGGTGCATCTTGAACCGCACCGAGGAGCACTGCGTGTGCCGCGAGCTGTCTGAGGAGAGCGTGGGCAGCATTGTCCAGTGCCTCCCGGCCTCCGTTGTGGAGTTCTGGGGAGGGGACCTGGAGAGATACGCAGCCCTGCCCATTGGCGACCTGCAGCCCTCCGCCATCGAGATACTGGAAAGCCTCAGCATCAGGAAACTCGTCTTTGGGGACCTCCTGGTGCCTGAGGTCCTCCTCGCCCGAGTCTTGAAGTTATTCTCCTACACCCAGGTGCAGGAGCTGGTGTTTGAGAGCTGCACCTTCATGGGGAGCAGCAACTGGGACGAAATGGCTGGGCGAAACTTGCCCATAACGACACTGCGCTTCCGCAACGTGACAGCGGCACCGGTGACGGGCCACGAGCAGGGCTTCTCCAGCTTGAGCCGCTGGCTGGAGAGCCTGCAGGAGCTGGCGGTCACCGGCTCGCGCGTCACCGCGCTGCCCTGCGCCGTCGGCAGGGTGTTCGGTGCGCTGCGCTCCCTGGACGTGGCACACAACGGCCTCGCGGACAGCGGCTTGGCGGTAGCCTTCTGTGAGGGTGCCTTCCCTCAGCTCCGGGTGCTGAGCCTGCAGCGCAACAACCTGACGTCCTACCACGGCGTGTGCGAGAGCCTGCAGCTGCTGCACCAGCTTCAGCACTTAGACATCAGCCAGAACAGGCTCAGGCTCACTGCCCACCCGACCTCCTCCTGCCAGTGGCCAATGTCCCTCCAGTCCTTGAACCTGTCTCACACAGGCTTGGATGAAATGCTCACGCCTCTGCCTCCCAATCTAGAGGTGCTGGACATCAGCTGCAACCACCTCCGTACTTTAGACATCTCTCTTGGCTCTCTGAAAACGCTCCTCGTCAGCCAAAACATGCTGCAAGACATCTCCTTCCTCAGGAATTGCCCCATGTTGGAAGTCCTCTATCTAGATGACAATTTGGTCTCGGAACTGCCATGGGATGAGCTGCGGCTCCTGGGGCACCTCAGGGACATAGGTGCCGCTGGCAACCCCTACAACTGCTCGTGCTCTGGGGCTGCGGGGATCCAGAGGCTGGCAGCAACGGGGCACCTTGGACCAGCTTGGCCCCAGGACTACATGTGTCATTCGCCCCCTCGCTACCGGGACATTCTGGTGAAGGATGTGTCTGTCTCAGTACTGCAGTGCAACAGGGCTGCGGTGATCGCTCCCATCTGTGTGATCCTTGGCATACTCTGCGTGGCGGGAGTGGTCTGCCTGGCCAGATCCAAGTACAGGCTGTTCCAGGCCTGCCGCAGGGCTGTGAAGGGGCCATAGGACCATCCCCATCAGCGCATCCTTCAGAGCCCCTCGACCTCGGCACATTCAGCTCCAGGGGCTGCAAGGCCGGGAGCTGTCCAGGGGAAATCTCACAGGCCCCTAATGTGCTGGTGGGAAACTCTTTGGGGTCCCCAGTCCAGCCTCCCCCATGGAGCAGGGCTAGATATTAGCTCAGGGTGGCCATAGCTTTTTTCTAGTCAAGTCTTGGAAAGCCTCAAGCGTGGACTTTGTCCTCTATGTGCTCTGTCCAGGGCTGCAGCCTCCCCGAGAGGGTGAGGGAACTTCACGAGTCCCATTTTTTGCCCATTGCCCCTTGATGTTGTCTGTCCCAAACAAGAGGAGTTTGGCTCCCTCATGCTTGCACTTCCCTCCAAGTAGCTCCTCTTGGATCCCCCTGAGACTCCTCTTGTGCAGATGATCCCAGCCCTGTTAACCCTTGTACCCAGTGCCCACATTTTCGGTGGGAACTGCTTCTTCACGCTTTGTGCCTCTGTGCATGTGTGTTGGCTGCGTGTTACCTGCTAGCAAACCCCAACTGGATGATCCATGGAGGAGGAAATCAGAGTCTAGAAAGACCCAAGGTCAGAGTAGGAGACTGGATAAATCAGGCCCAAGGACCAGGCATGGATACTTCATGGTTTCCGAGGTCTGTTGAAGGTTTCGAGGGCCAGCAGGTGTGGACGTGTCTGGGGACACAGGGTACATGACACCAGCAAGTTCCAGTTCCGATCAGCTGGAGGGAAAGGATGGAGTGAGGGTGACTGTGTTCCTGTGAATGCTATAGGTGTTTAGGTGGTGCTGGCTAAGGTATGTTTGATCCATGGGACTGGCTATGTCCACACCTCAGGTCAATATTTGCACTTTTTGAATTGGCACTCGGCCTCCCCACTGGCTTCGCCTGGGAATGGGGAGCAGCACCTTCCATCTAGTGAACCGGGAAGGAGAAATCCTTGTGTCTTAAAACCCCAAGACTTGCCTTCCCCTGGCAGCACCCAGATGAAGCCTCTGCCAAGGAAAGGGGGTGATCTGAACCCCCATTTCACTGTCCATGCTCCTGCTGACAGAGACCAAGGTGCCATTTGACCCCTTTATAGTGATGGCTCATGCACGACCTGACATTACCCTCGTAGCTGAAGGCGTTCAGGGAAGCAGAGGTTCAGGGAAGCAGGAGCAGCTCCATAATCTCCTTCTGCAAAAGAAAAGTGGCAGACATGAGACAAATGTGTGTGTCTACCTGTGGGGCCTGGTCCCACCCAAATGCAGGGGCTGTCCTGGGACCTCTCTCTTGCATCCTTCACTCTGCATTTCCATGCACCGTGGAGACCCTGGCTTCAGCACTTCCTTTCGTGCTTTCTTGGGGTGACTGATTTCAAATAAACATGATTCCATGGTTTGTGGTTGCTCCTTGTGCCTAGAAAACCTCCATGATGGTCCCAAGTTCCTCTGTCTCTGCTCCCAGCCTGCAACGATGTCACTCGCGGAGCCGGGTGCGTGCTAACAGCGGGCAAGTTGGCCTTCATGGTCCTACCGGCCTCTGGAGCTGGGGGCAGTGCCAGGGGCAGCTGGACCACAGGGCACAGGTGCCCCAGGACACTTTGCCAATCCAGCATCGACTATGCACAAGTGACATGGGGACATCTGGCCTCGCACCCCCGCAAGAGCCCTGGCTACAACTACCCTCCCTGTCCTCTTTGTCTGAGGGTCTGGAGGAGTCCCATGGAGGTCATTGCCACCAAAGAGCCCCATGTTAGATAATCTCTGGCATCGCTGGGCTCAGCATTGCAGGAGATGACACCGCCAGGCTGGGCTCTGTCCCTGCGTGGCTCTGCCTGCGCAGCCGTGCCTGACACCCATCAATAATGCACGGAAACGCGATCGCCCCTCATAACCTCATCGCCTGCCCTGGCCCAAACGCCAGCTCCGGCTCTGCTCATACCGAGCTGCCCATGGACGCTGAGGAGGTGAGTGTTCACAGGGGCACGGTGCAGGCTGGTGCGGGGCAGGGGGGCTGTCCTCTGCCTTCGGGGTGCTCTGATGCTGCCCAGGCCCGAGGCGCTCGTCCAGGTGGGGCAGGACCCATTCCACTTCCACTGTGTGTCCCTCCAGGCCAAGTGGGACATGCACGTACGAGCAGCTGTTGGACTGCAGCAGGGACCAGGTAGGGCCAGGGCGTGGGACCCTGCCACAAACCCTCCCCAGGGAACTAGGTTTGAGTGCTGCCACCCTGGGGACAGCAGCAACTGTGGTGGCACTGGGAGCAGTGGGTGTACTGGGGGCGGTGGTGGGGAGAGGGCATCCTGCACCATGCAGCAGTGTCGTGTGCCATGGGCACAGCGGGAGGGCTCGGGGCGACGGGAGAGGGGAACCCTCTTGGGCCTGGCTGCGTGGGGTAGCTAGGGGGCCTGATGGGGGTGTCCTCCTCCCCACGTCACCGTGTTTGGTGTTACAGGCCCAGGGGAGAGCCAGGCCACCAGCGAAGACCCCAAGCAGCTTCTCTTTGTGGAGACGGGGGTCCAGGTGAGAGCAGCAGGGACAAAAGCGCTCAGGGGATGAAGGTTCCTGAGGGATGAGATGGGAGCAGGGGTCCCCATCCCAACCGCCTGCCAGAGCAGGAGCCCCAGCAGAGGCCTGTCGCACTCGGGATGCCAGTGGGTGCTGAAGGGTTTGGCTGATCTGCTGTATGCCTCCCTGGGGCGCTTTGTAGTGGGGGGTTCCTGAGGGACATCAGGAGAAGAAGGGGGTCTCTGCCAGGCTCCAGGCCTGTGCCCGGCCCTCTGGACCCTGCCCACATCCAAGTCCCTCCTGTAGCCTGTGCTGGTCACCCTGGGGTGAGGGAGAACTGACCCTTAACGTGCTCATTCCTTCATGCAAGGAGAGCGGCTTGACCATCGACGGCGTCTTTCACCTGGATGCAGGACAGGTACTGTGGGCCCTGGGTCCTCTTTCTGCACACCAACGCCCATGTCCCTCCCCAGCTGGGTGCTGCAGGGCCATCTGGTCCCAAGCAAGGGCCAGGGGCTCTGCCGCTCACCTGACTCCTCTCCAGACGGATCCGGTGCCACTGCCATCTTCTCAGGGGTTGCGGGCAGTGCTTGGCACTTGGGGCTTAGTCCTCCGTGTGGCTCTGCTGCTGTTTTTTACCATCTCCTGTCTCCTCTTGGGTGCTGAGATGCGGCTACCATCTCTGCCACACCATCTGCTCCATGTTACCTGTGCCACGTCATCTGTGCCATGGTATCTGTGACACGCCATCTGTACCATGCCATGGGTGCCATGCTGTCTGTGCCATGCTGTGCCATGTCTCCTGTGCCATGTTATCTGTGCTGTGCCATCCATGCCACACCATCTATGCTGTGCCCGTGCCATTTATGCTGTACCATCTGTGTCAGGCCATGCCAGTTGGGCCATGCCCTTCCTGCTATGCCATCTATGTCTCTCCTTCCAGGAGAAGGTTTTGGAGCTGGCAAGACCCCAGTTGGCCCTGGTGCCCCTTGGCTATAGCATGTCCCTGCTGCTGTGGGATCCCCATGGTCCTGGGACGCAGCTGCCACTCCAGGACATTGTCTGGCAGGTAAAGGCAGAGCTGTGGGGATGTGCCAGTGTGTCCAACATGCCCTGCTGGGCTCCAGGCTCCCATGCTGGCTGGGGGTGCCAGGCTCATCCAACTGGCACCAAGACCCAGCCGCACGTGCCAGGGCCACATAGCTCCCAGTGTGGCTGGCTTGTCCTCAGGTGCTCGACAGCATTTTCCAAGAGCTGGAGTCTACGGAGGGCGACACGCAGCGCCTGCAAACTGTCAGCCTGGTCCAGGTACGGCAGGAGCCGGGCTGGCCGGGCAGAGAGCCCCAGTCCCCCCCACGTGGCCCCTGCTCTGCTCTGTGGCTGGTACAGCACTAGTACCCAAGCCCAGAGGCTGGAGACATCACAATTTTGGGTTTCCTTACCTCCTCGGAGGACGCTGTAGGTGAGGGAGGCCGGGGCTGCCCGGGGGGTGTCTCCCACCTTCCGCAGGGGCTGTCACCTGCCCTGTTCCAGCAGCACAGTGGGAACGGGGAGCCCTCTAATGCCAACTTTCCCACCATGTGGTTGGACTTCTGCTGGCGCTGACCCCTCTTGGTGGCCTGGAAGACCCTCCCACCTGTGCCCAGCTGGCACCAAGGTGATGCCAACTTCCCCTGCCAGGCCAGGCCAGGCCCTTGTTTTTGGCTCTGAGAAGCAGCCAGGACCTGCCAGGCTCTGCCTGCACTTGCATGTCCCAGGGCAGTGACTGTCCCCATTCCTGGTCTTGGAAATACTGGAGATGCTCCAAGACGTATCCCCTCCCAGCTGTCACGGCTGCATGGGCATGAGCAAACGGGGGCTCCAGTGACCACAGCTCTGTGCCCAGTGTTGTCCGTTGCAGGTCTGTGCGCGGGGAGGAGCACGAGACCTGCTCCATCCCGGCGGCCAAGCCCTGCAGGTGATGGATGTGGCACCCCTGGGCCTGTAGGTACCCAATGCTCCCTGCGTCTGCACGTGGGCGCTGCCAGACAGCAATGGGGATGAGACTGGGCACAGCGTGCAGCGCCCAGCCAGGGGAAGCGTGGGGTGACCCTTGGGCACAGGTGAACGTGGTCCCTCTTGCTCGCTCGCTCGAGGCTCTCTCTGCTTCCAGGATGGTGGAGGAGGTGACAGAAATCGCCGTGCCCGACGCCCAAGCCGCCATGCGCGTCTATGCATGGGGCCTGGGTGGTAGGCAGCAGCCTGTGGCAGAGGAGTGCTCGGCTGCGCCAGGGTGAGGGCCTGGCTGGTGCAGGCAGGGGCGCCGCGGGGGGCTCTGCGGCTCGGCGGGGTGGTGCACAGGGCTCTGCCTCACCTGCCTGCCCTCCCCAGGCCCGGCAGCCTCTTCACGCTCACGCTGGAGCGGGAGCTGCAGGGAGGCGGGCGCCAGCGCTCGGCTCTCAGGATCCTGGCAGTGCCCGGGGGCCCTGAGCTGTAAGTGCAGGAGCCGTGACTGCCACGGCCTCGGGGCTGCACATGGTCCTGTGCCAGGGACTCCCATGGAGCTGGGCGGGAGGTGGAGGACGGGATTTGGGACCTGGAGGAGAGACTGTTTGGGCTTCAGAAGGGCAGGAGGGAGCTGGCACTGCAAGGGTGTCCCACACTGCCCGCTCTGCAGGCTCCCTCTTGGGGTGCTGGCAACGGGACTCCCGCCGGCCAGTGCCGGCTCCCTGCCCTGGATCATCGAGCGGCTGCTGGAGGGGAACAGCCTCACGTTCCTGCTGCTGTGCATGACGCTGCCAGGTACCCGGGAAGGGCCCGAGTGCCTCAGGAGGGCCTGCCCTGGGCCTCCTGGCACCTGGACTCTGCTCTCGGGCTGCCTGGGGATGCCTGTGGTGACCAACAGGCCAGGCCTTGGGATTTCCTGGTGCCCACGGATACTGTGGCCCCCACCCAGGCATCCAGGACTGGCTTCTCTTGCAGGCACTTCAGGAGAAGAGATCCTGGCAGCCCTGGCACTGGCTGAGTGGGTGAAGGGGCTGGCCAAGACGGTCTCACCCACCCACTGGGACCCGGCGCGGGAGGCTGCAGCACGGCGGGCAGAGATCCGAGGGCTGCGAGCTGAGCTCCTGGCTGGAGCCGGCCGCCTGGAGCAGGAAAGAGCTGTGGCCCAGCTGCAGAGAGCCCTGCGGGAGCTGCGGGTAGGGAGATGCCCTGGGCACCACGTGCCTCAGCTAGGACCGAGGGTAGCACCGTCGGCCCACGTGGATGAGCTCCTGGCTGTTTCCTGGTGTCACAACCCTTGTCTGGCATCGTGGGCATGTGAGGGAGCCAGGGGTGACCTGCCTGGTGGAGGGTGCAGTGGGGTGGGATGTGCCCATGCATCTGTGCTGTGCCTGGAGGTCTCTCCAGCACCCTTTTTCCAGGTGCTGAAGAGCCAGAGGTGGGAGAAGAAACAGATGGCAACTCAGGCATTCAAGCCAAACCAGATGCATCAGTTTGGTGCTGAGGTGGGCACAGAACAAGTTATCCTCTGTGGGAACAACCTGGGCACAGGAGAAACCCTCCAACTTGGTGACATTCCCATAATGATCCCTCCTACTCCCACAGGACCTAGTCCCTGCAGGGAAACGAGCACCAGGCAAACACGCGGGGACCCAAGAGCCCCTGGATGGAGCCAGGCAGCAGCAGGGAGGTACAGAGTATGGGGACAGAGGTGTGCCACTGTGCCCTGGTGGCTGGGGCACGGGCAAGGGGCTGGGAGAGAGGCTCACGGCTTTCCTTAGCCTGGTTCTCCAGCTCCTCATGTCCCTCTTCCCAACAAGAAGCCAGTGCTGCCAAGAGCTGCTGCGGAGGGAACAGCCAGGTCCCTGGGATCGCCGGACAGGGCCTGCCAGAAGCACCTTCACAGGGCGAAGCACCGTGGCCACCAAGCGAGGTCCCTGCCTGGGGCTGGGCGAGGGGCTGCTGCCCTGGCAGCCTTGTCGCAAGCCTTGGCCCGAACCCTCACTGCTCTCTGCCAGGCCCGGAGCCCGTGGCAGCCGTGCCTGCCCCTCGAGGTCCAGTTCTCCCTGGCCAAGGTCCGGAGGCAGCGCCCGCAGGCCCAGCGCCGCCTGCTGCTCCAGCAGGAGCTCGAGGACGAGGCAGCGACCAGCCACGAGGTGAACAGGAAGGTGGGCACAGCGGAGGCCTGAGCAGAACTGGGGAGAGACTGGAGCTGAACTAAACCCTTAGCATAGAATCATTAGGTTGGAAAAGACCTTTGAGACTGAGTCCAACCATAAGCCCTTCAACACCATCCTGCCAAACCATGTCCCTAAGTGCCTCATCTACACGCTTCTTGAACACTGTCAGGGATGGGGACTCTACTACTTCCCTGGGCAGCCTGTCCCAATGCTTGACTGCTCTTTCCGTGTAGAATTTTTTCTTAATATCTAACCAGAATCTCCCCTAGCCCAACTTGAGGCCATTTCCTCTTGTCCTCTCGATAGTTACTCTGGAGAGGAGATCACCCCCCGCCGCCTCACTACACCCTCCTTTCAGGTAGTTGCAGAGAGCGACAAGGTCTCCCCTGAGCATCCCTCTCTCCACACTAAATAGCCCCAGCTCCTGCAGCCGTCCCTCATAAGTTCTGTGCTCCAGCCTCTTCCCCAGCTCAGTTGCCCTGCTTTGGACATGCTCTAGCACCTCAATGTCCTTCTCGCAGTGAGGGGCCCAAAACTGAACACAAGATTCAAGGGGCGGCCTCAGCAGCGCCAAGTACAGGGCGATGATCACTCCCCTGCTCCTGCTGGCTACACCGTTCCTGATACCAGCCAGGAGGCCCTTGGCTCTCTTGGCCAGCTCCCTCGCCTGCCCGGAACCACTCTCCTGCAGCAAGGCAGCAGGCCAGAGCCTCAAGCAGCTCTGTCCTTGTCCTCGTCTCTGTCCTGCAGTGGGACACGGCTCGCCGGCAGCGGGAGGTGGCCGTGTTGGGCCAGAGCCTGGAGGCAGCACGGAGAGAGCACGAGGCGGACGAGCAGGACCTGGAAGCCCTGCTGCACAGCCACCAGCAGGAGAGGCAGGCCTGGAGGCAGCACGCACTGCGGGTGGGCCTGGGCCACGTGTCCACGCTGCCAACACGACCCTGCTTGCAGGGCACAGGGGCAGCTCTGGGGCCGCCATAGGCAGCCCTGGTTGTCCCCCCAGGTGCTTCAGGCCCAGCAGCGCTCAGCAGAGGAACGCACAGAGGCCCTGGATCGCCGGTACCAGATGCTGCTGCAGGAGGTGCTCCAGGACACCGCGGAGCTCTCCACACAGAACCAGCAGCTGCAGGCAGCCGGGTCACGCAGCTCGGCCACCACTGCCACGCAGACACCCTGAGCCAAGAGCCCGGGGCGGTGGGCACAGCCACTCCACAGGGAGGCGGCGACATCCCCAGGTCCCTGCCACCTGGGCCTGCACCCCACGACCTGCCAGCCCTGAAGCCAAGCGGAGGGAAGGCCCTGGTGGGAACAGCCTCCCACGGCACGTCCTCCAACCCAACCTGCTCTGGCTCCGGAGAAGGCAGGAGTCCTGCGGGGGTGTCGGGACGGGGCTCTTCCACGCATGAGGGTTTTTCATCCCTCTCCCCCAGCCTGGGACAGCCCTGCCCTGCGGTGGGGCAGGCGGCTGCAGGAGCTCAGGCTCCACCTGCAGCCCAGACCTCGAAGGCAGCCAAGGTATCGAGACAGGTGCCCGCAGGCCCCGCGCTGATGCAGATGAGCAAAGCAGGGGGAGCTGGACAGGCACCAAGGAACCTTTCACTGCCCTGGGGGCGCTGCCATGTGGAATAAAGTGGGTGCCCTTCCCCCACAGCTGCACCACTGGCCCCTTGAATGGCCACAGCGAAGGGCTCTGCCAAGCAAAGCAGATGCTGTCCTGCAAGGAGCACAAACACACTGTGCTGTTTAATAGCAACTTTAATAACCCCAGCAAAGCCAGCACCAACCCCTGCCTGCCAGGAACTTGCCAGCAGCAGAGTCCGTGCAAATCCAGGTGCCATCTCCCCTGTGGGGAGTGGACAAAATGGTCCCCGTGTCCTCACACTGCCCCTCTGCTCAACATCGAGCAAGGTGGCAGGCAGCCTCATGGCACCCAGGAAGGGCAAAATGGCCCCCAGGGACTGGAGGCTTTGGCCGGGACCTGGAGAGAGGCACGGGCTGGAAACGTGTTGGGAGGAGGTGGGGGAAGAGACCTCAGGTTAGGGCATGAGACTCTCCAGAGAGCAACACGCAGCCCCGTGTAGAGGATTCCTACCTCTAAAAGCCTAGCGGGAGAAAAGCCTCTTCCTCGCATTCCTGGGTGCTCAGAGGCGGCACAGACCAGCGCAGGGCACCTCGTACGTGAGGAGCACAGTGCCAGGCTCCTCTGGAGAGGAGCCCACAGTGTCACAGGAATCACAAGGGCCCCAGAGCAATGTGGGGTGCAGAGCTTGTTAAACGTGCATGGCGCCGCGTGGCACGGGGCAGAGCACGCTCTTCGGTGAGCAGCAGACGGGCAGGAGCAGCTGGTTGATGCCACATGCCGGGATCTGTTCCGGAGGCTGGGCCCCCCGCAGTGGCACAGGAACCCCAGGACACGGAGCCGTCCCTGCTTCCAAAGGCACTTGGAGCCCGGCTTGGGGTAGGCCAGGCTGGAGCGCGTGCCAGGCTGGGGTCACTGTGACACAGCCTGGGGTCACTGCTGCTTTGCACACACAGTGCACAGCTAACACAGGGGCAGAGAGGTCTGGGCCCATCTTTTATGGGCTGAAGCACCCCTTCAAGAAGGACCTGATCCTGCAAAGAGCAGGGCACAAGAGGAAAGTGCCAAGCCATTTTTGGCTCCAGTCCCTTGGAAATAGGGACAGGGCACTCGCCTTCAGCACTCCTCCTGGCATGCTTGCTCATCTTACATGCACTGCCCAAAACCCTCACATGCCTCTGCTCCAGCTCAGCAATAAGTCTTACTCGGCCATCCTGCCTTACCAGATGCACATACAGAGGCAGGGAGGCTGACGGGCTGAGCCAGCCCCCGGATGGCCATGACACCCCTAAATAACAACTAAAGGCTGCCCTGGTACTGCATGAAGGGCAGGAGGCAGCAGCTACGTGACCCCATAGTACAAGTGAACAGCAAGGGCGATACTTGCAACAGCAATGAAGAAGAAGAGGGTGAGCTGCAGGTCAAAGAGGGTGACGGAGAGGAGGGCGTTGACCAAGATGGAGCAGGAGATCACAAAGAGCCTGGTGATGTTACTGCTGTGCTTCATGACCACAGACATGATCAAGCCATTCAAAGCCTGGCTGACCACGATGACCAGCACCCAGGAGGAGAAGCCTTCCAGGAAACTTGCCTCTGTGCTGCTCCAGAAGTGGCCAGTCACATTGAGCAGGACCCCAAAGAAGTAAAGGAAGAGGTTCTGGAGGCTGAGAGGTAGAGCCTGGGCTTTCAGGATAGCTTCTGTGTAGACAGCAGACAGGCCTGATATGAAGCAGTACACAGAGATGAGCAGCAGACCCACTGGCGTGACATGCAGCTGCATCTTGGAGGGGCTGCCGGGATCGTGGGGGTCCTGCAGGCCTCCACAGCTGTAGCTCACCCCAGCAGCTGTCAGCAGGAGGAGAGCCAGCCACTTGCGCAGGCAGAGTCTTTGGCGCAGGAAGAAGCTGTAGAGGAGAGCGGTGCTGACGATCTTTAAGTTACTCAAGACCTGGTAAGTGCTGGGATCCATGAAGAGCTGCATGTGAACCACCAGGTTGTTGTTTGCGGCATAGAGCAGGGCAGAGAGGGCAAAGGGGAAAACATGGTACCACGACACCGTGACTCCCAGCAGCTTTCGGTCCCGGATCAGCATGATCAGAAGGGAGAACACCAGCTTCGTCAGCTCGATAAGAACCACAACAGACGAGGAGCTGAAGGGGATCTTCCCATCCACCTTGCACAGGGTTAACAGGGGAGCGTGAGAGCCATACACGGCTACAGACAGGACCAGCATCAGTGCCCACAGCCCCCTGTGAAGCACCCAGCTTGCAGGCCTGAGCAGAAAGCCAGCAGCATCACCAGAGAGCAGTCCCATTTTCGGGTGGCCACCAGCAAGGGCAAGCAGCTACCTACAAGGGCAGGGAGGCCAGACACACTCGCACTCTGCAACATTCAAGAAAAGATCGGATACCATTAATTTAATGAGTTATTTCAAGACACATTACTCATTACACTTCTGCTGCAGGGGACAGAATCAGTTTTGTTCTTCATTCAGGAGAGGGCCCTGCCCCTCAAGAAGCGCCCCCAGGCCTGTTCCTCAGGCACAGCAGGTGGCAGGGCACATGGGGTGACAGGTCACCAACAGCTTTTCCCTCATTTGGGGAGACGGATGAGGGGAAAAAGCATCTGGGAAGCACTTGGCTGCCAACACTTCCAAGTTATGAAGTGCTATCATAGCCATCACCTCTCCCGTGATACTCTAGTAAACACCCCAACATCAGACCTGCTGATGTCCCATCAGTACCTCATAGAAAGCATTTTTCTAATGGAAAATCCCAGTGCATGTGTCAGCTGTCCCCAGAAGCCTAAGCACCTCCTGGGGTCACCTCGGCCACGGGGCACCTCGCTTAGTCCCGGCCTTTCTTCAGCGAGCTGAGGTAGTCGCGGATCGTCTTCTCCACATCAGGCACAGCGTAGTTCTGCGCCGCATAAATGCCTGCGCAGGTGCCCACGGCGAAGCCCAGCACGGCCGAGAAGCGGAGCTTGGCCACCACGTAGCCGGCCAGGAAGCCCTTAAGGAAGGGGGAGGCGAGCAGAGAGCCGTCCTGCGCCGGGAGAGCAGCCCTGAGCGCCCGCCTCGCGGCGGGACGGAGCCGAGCTGCGCCCCGGGGACCCAGGGGCCGGACCGGGGCGGCGGGGCCGCGCTCACCTGCGCTACGCCCGCGCGCACCTCGCCCTCCACGCGCCGCTGCAGACTCTCCAGCTGCTCCTTGAGGCAGGGCCGGGCGCTTAGCACGGCCGCCGTACC